CCTTGTCAATGGTTGGATTGACAAATATTCATGCTGCTGGAATGTTGGGGGATCAGCGAGGAGCTACGTCTACCATTAAGTTGGTTGTGTTTTCTCCTTTTTCTATGACTGATAATATTCATTTTTTGGTTCATTCATTCACCAAACATTTATTTACTGAATATCAATTTTGTACCAGGAATTGTGGTAGACACTAGGAGACAAGAGATGAGCTACCTTTACCCCTTCTGTCTCCAAAGGGGATAAAGATGAATAAGATAATAACTGATTTTTTTTTTTTGAGACAGTCTTGCTCTGTCACCCAGGCTGGAGTGCAGTGGCGTGATCTTGGCTCATTGCAGCCTCCGCCTCCCAGGTTCCAGTGATTCTTCTGCCTCGGTCTCCTGGGTAGCTGGAATTACAGGGGCCCACCACCACACCTAGCTAATTTTTGTATTTTTTTAAAAAGAATAACTGATATTTTGGATGTTTGGAAGAAAGGTTGTAGAATAAAGCAGCTACTTGAAAATGGGGGAAAGTACTTTCCTAAATAGTTCTGGGTTAAAGAATAAATTAAAACTATACTAATACACCTCTTAGAAACTTGATACGATGATGGGACTAAATATAAAACATAGGATGCAGCCAAAATTGTACTTAAAAGAAAAGTTTTCAGCCATAACATCTTTAAATGTTTAATGAAGAGGAATGGGAATAAATTAATTGAGCAGTCAATTCAAGAAGCTTTAAAAAGAATAGTGGATAATATTAGCTGACATTTGTAGAATAGTCATGATATGGTTGGCGTGGTTCTGAGCATGGAATAACTCATTTAGTTCAGACAACACCACTGTGATGTGGGTCCTGTTTTCGCTGTCATATTCCAGAGAGGAAACTGAAGTACAGGAAGATGAGGTGGTGTACCTAGTCTTAGAGTTTGCAAATGATAGACACACGATGTACATACACCTGGCCATCAGACTCCAGAATTCACATTCCCAACCAATAAGTAATACAAATGCAAGTAAGCAATACAATCACAGGCACATAGAACAAAAAAGTTAAAGTACCAATTAATAAAGAATAATAAAACCAAATAGAGTTGATAAATATAATCATAATCTGCTTCTTTAACGTCATAGAATGATAAAAATAGACAAGAAAGAACACAAACTTCTGGGAAAAAAATGAGAGACTACCTAACAATACAATATGAAGAAAGAAAGAGAAAAGGTGTAATATCATCACAGATAAGATGCTACAATTTAAACATGTTGAGAAGAACACTGTGGATAATTTCCAAGGAAAATATAAATTCCAAAAGTTAGTTTGAGTAGAGGTGGAAAACTTTCCTGTGTGGTTGAAGTGTAGAGAGGGAGAGGGAGGTGAAGCTGGGGAAAGCTCAGGGATGGGGCGAGACTATGCTGCCATCTCTTTACTTTCCATGTTGAATAAAAGGGAAAGTTAAACATGGAAATATGACAAAGGGAAAAGAGAGAATAATAAAAGGATTATTTGGGGTAATATGGTTTTCTATCTGGAAAACTCAAAGGAAGCAACTAAAACCCCACAAAAGCTATTTGAGTTTTTAAAAAAATGCTTTAAAATAAATATGCTAAAAATCTATTGCTTTCCTATTGTTTTTATTTGTTTGTTTGTTTTGTGTTTTGAGATGGAGTCTCGCTCTATTGCCCAGGCTCGAGTGCAGTGGCGTGATCTTGGCTCACTTCAACCTCCGCCTCCCAGGTTCAAGCAATCTCCTGCCTCAGCCTCCCGAGTAGCTGGGATTGCTACAGGAACCTACCACCATGCCCTGCTAATTTTTGTATTTTAAGTAAAGACGGGGTTTCACCATGTTGGCCAGGCTGGTCTGGAACTCCTGGCCTCAAGTGATCTGCCTGCCTCATTCTCCCAAAGTGCTGGGATTACAGGCGTGAGCCACCGCGCACAGCGATTTGCTTTCCTATTTTTAAACAATGACCAGCTGGGAAACAAAATGAAAACATGTCAAATTTACAATAACATACAAAAGATTCCCTTAGACGATACTAAAGGGAAAATGTGTAGGACTTATATGGAAAAAATAGGAGTTCAGCAAGGGGACAATCATTTCCTGATGGAAAGACTCATTGTTGTCAAGGCGTCAATTATCTTGAATTTAATTTCTAAATTTAACACAATTTCAATCAAAGTCCCAATCATTTTTTGGAGACTGGGAGTTGACTGAATACAATCCCAATAAAAATTCCATTGGTATTTTTAAAATCTTGATAAACTGATTCTAAAGTTTACTTGGAAGAATAAATATGCAGTGATAGCCAAGAAAATGTTGAAAATAAGGATAATGAGGGAGGACTTGCCCTGCCAAGATATAACATATTACAGAGCTACTATAATTAAAGCCCATATTGCTATACTAGAAGACAGATCAGTGGCACAGAATACAAGGCACAAAGACAGACCCCAGTGTATATAATTATTAAACATATAATAAAGTTGGCATTTGAAATCAGTGGGGAAGGGATGAATTATTCAATAAAGGCTGCTGGGACAATTGGTTACCTCTTTGGGAAAAAATGGCAAATTGGATTCCCATTTCACATCAGATTCCAAGAAATTACACATGGATCACAGAGTTTAAAGTGGAAATGATGCCATATAAAAGTACAAAAAAACTCCAAAGAGTAATATTTATATGACTTGGAGCATGAAGAAGGCTGTTTGAGGTGTACTTGGACTGTCTTCCTTTGTCCAGTTTTCCCTTTTAGTGGTTTAAAAGGAATACATAGTAGTTTTTATATTTTTATTTATGTACTTACTTTTGAAACAGGGTCTCATTATGCCACCCAGGCTGGAGTGCAGTGGGGCAGTCATGGCTCACTGCAGCCCCAACTTCCTGGGCTCAAGCGATCCTCCCACCTCAGCCTCCGGAGTAGCTGAACTACAGGCATGCACCACCATGTCTGGCTAATCTTTTACTTTTTGTAGGGATGGGATCTCACTATGTTGCGCAGGTTGGTCTCAAACTCCTGGGCTCAAGTGATCCTCCTGCCTTGACGTCCCAAAGTGCTGGGATTACAGACGTGGGCCAGCACACCCAGTTCCTGTTCTTATTTTTAATCCTTAATTGTTAACACGTATATTTAAATTTATAATGCCTTATATGCAATTTCTCAATATCTATAATATTTTGAGGGATATAAGACTCAGCACATTTTAATCTTGTAACCCTCTTGCAACTCCCATTTCTTATGACTTGGGTTTACTCTACTGCTCTATCTCTTCCTCTGTTGAAAACTTTACATATTACAGAAAAAATTAAGCATATATAAAAGTAACAGATTAGTATAATGCATCCTCATGTGTGCATCACCCAGTTCAATAATGACCTATCATGATTGATTTCTTTTTCATCTGTAATCCTCCCCTTTCTATCCCCACCTTAGCGTACTGAATTATTTTAAATTATTTTATCCATAAAGATTTTAATGTATCCTCAAATATAAGGATTCTATAACCAAAAAAGGCCATTATCACACTAAATATTTTTAATTCCCTAATGTCGGTAACAATAATTCCCTAATGTCATCAGAAAGTGAGTATATCCATTTCCCTGATTGCCTTATCATTTTTTAAAACTATTGGTTTTTTCCAATTAGAATCCAAACAAGGTCCACATGTTAAATTTAGTTGTTACGGGTTGATAGGTGCAGCAAACCACCATGGCACATGTATACTTGTGTAACAAACCTGAACGTTCTGCACGTGTATCCCAGAACTTATAAAATAAAAAAATTAGTTGATGTGTTTCTTGAAATATATGTTTCTCCTCTTATTTTCTCCCCACTTGCAGTCCCCTCTTGTAGTTTATTTGTTGAAGACACCATATTGGTTGCCTTTTTTTCCTACATTCTGGGTATTTGTAGGGGGCGGGTGGTTGCTGATCGCATCCCTGTGGTGTCATTTAATATGTTCCTCTGTGACTTGTATTTTCTGTAAATCTGTAGTTGCATCAAGAGACTTGAACCAGTCATGTTTGATTATTTGACAAGTGTGCTTCATAGGTAGTGAAGTGAGCTTTCCCCTGTAGGCAAGTGGTATCTTTTTGTGACCTTAGCAACCATAGATGATTGTCACCCAGACTCATTGTGTCGCTATGGGTGGCCTTGAGGTTTCCTGTTCTGTTTTCGTTTACTAAGCATGCACTTTAGAAGGGCTCTGAGCTGGTCCCTGAAGCATGGCACTCGTCCTCCAGAAACCCACAGTCTTGAGGTTGTAAAAGAAGATTTGAACACCAAGACTACAAAAGATGATTTGAACAACAACAACAAAAAGTTTTATTTTGTATACGTTCTTTCTTTGTACCTCTGCCAGAGTGATATAACCTCCAAATAGGGGAGTCATAGCCTAGATGCATTAAATTCACACCAATTCAAATACATGTATATATGTATTTGCTTGCAAACTACTGAAGTGACAATGTAAACGTTGCTGCCTATTTTCCCACTCTTCTATTAGATTGACATTGCTTTTGGTGAGATGGGGCATGAGTCCACCATCCTGTTCCCTCTATTTCCACATGACCCTCATCGTATGAACACCGCTCTTAAGTGTGATTCTAGGATTTAGAGATACACATTTCTTATGCATTATGCACCTAAACACAAGCCAACTACTTCATCTGGCACCTGATCCAAGAAACAACATTCTGTTCCAAAATCAATAGAAGACCAGGCACTTTAAGGGATCTTCAAGGGAGTGTAATTTTGAGCATATGGAATCTTTCTAACCCTAGCTAACTTTAGAAGTTTAACTCCTATGCAAGATGAAACATCTATGTACCCAAGAGTTTGACTTCAGCAAAGGACAAGCTGAAGAAGCTGACATTGTTGTTTATTTTGGCATAAAGGCTTTACTTGTTGGTGATGTTCAAGTTTAATGATCTCTTCCTTCCTTTCTCTCTCTTCCTCCTCTCCGCTTTCCTTCTTCCCTTCCTCCCACCCTGATTTTCTCTTTTGCAGTTTGCTGCTTTGTGGTGCACAAGCGGTGCCATGAATTTGTCACATTCTCCTGCCCTGGCGCTGACAAGGGTCCAGCCTCTGATGTAAGTAATGGGCATCGATCACTTTTCTCTGTCCACAGTCAATACTGCCTTGTGGTTAAATGTGAGTGAGCATTCTTAGATGAGTAAGTGCAGAAGATCCCACTCTAAGGCATGTGGTGGACCCTATAGGTTTTGAGACAGTTTTCCTTTTAGTGGAAAACAAAACGAAACAAAACATTTTGAGAGAGGGTGTGGCTGGATGGAAACCAGCTAGTTGGTCTACTATGAGTTTGCGAATGTCTTCACTTTGAAAGCTGGAGCATGGAAGGTGATAGGCAAGGGCCTACTTGGTAGTGTGGCTGCAAAAAGGTAGTTTTGGTAGTACTTTACAGTGCACGTTATAGCACTTTGTTAGGGTGTTCTTTATTATTATTATTATTATTGTTATTATTGTTATTATTTTGAGACGGAGTCTCGCTCTATCTCCCAGGCTGGAGTGCGGTGGTGCGATCTCGGCTCACTGCAAGCTCCGCCTCCTGGGTTCATGCCATTCTCTTGCCTCAGCCTCCTGAGTAGCTGGGACTACAGGTGCCTGCCATCATGCCCGGCTAATTTTTTTTGTATTTTTAGTAGAGACAGGGTTTCACCGTGTTAGCCAGGATGGTCTCAATCTCCTGACCTCGTGATCTGCCCGCCTCAGCTTCCCAAAGTGCTGGGATTACAGGTGTGAGTCACCGTGCCCAGCCTATTATTCTTATTTTTTAAGAAACAAAGTCTCTCCATGTTGCCCAGGCTGGTCTCGAATTCCTGGGCTCAAGCAGTTCTCCTGCGTTGGCCTCCCAAACTGTTGTGATTCCAGGCTTGAGCCACTGCACCCTGCTTGTTAAGGTGTTCTTAATATCAGGGCCCAAGAATGAGGAGGAAATGAATTTATCCTGCTACCGTGAATCTCAAAATATGACTACTGCTAGTGGGACAGGAGATGCTTGTAGGTAAAATGTGCAAAAAATTTGTGTTTTAATCATTATAAATGTATTTTACTGTGGATTGGGAAAAACGTATCTGGTAATGGTTTTGTGCTTATCATAATGATATAGAATTTCCTACCTAAGTAAAGGTATTTAGGTTAAACAAAAGATAAATTGATTTGAGAACAATATTAAGTGAATGACAGTAAGGGTGATAAAAGGATGTGGCAAACGTTTTGGTACAAATGTGTTTTAAGTTTGGGATACATTGTTGATTGGCCTACCCAGCAGCCATTCACAGACTTCATCCTTCTGGCAGAGGCTACCTCTCGTGCTGGAAGCTGAAAATGCCTGATACTTCCTTTCTCCGGCTCTCTTGTAGCTGCTGAATGAGAATGTGACCCAATCCTGCTAATGGAAACTGAGGGGAAGACCTGGGAAAGAGTCTTGGAAAGATTTTTCCTTTCTGATAAGAGAGAAACATCCCTTCCCTTGTCCTCTTGGGCATTTTTGTGCAAGGATATATGCTTGGAGTTGTGGCAGTCCTTTTGGGTCAATGAGGGACATATTGTCAACATCCTGAGCATGGCAGAGTGGAAGATTTAAAAGAACCATGAGTCCGTGATGATGCTGATGAGCTGCTGAGACCACTCACAGTCCTTTTATCCCCAAGCTGGGTAGATGGGATGAGAAGCTTTTTTTTTTGGCAAAGTCTTATTGTTTGAGGCCTTCTTTTTTATTTTTGTTTTTTTTCTCTTTTGAGACAGAGTCTTGCTCTGTTGCCCAGGCCAGAGTGTGGTGGCACGATCATGTCTCACTTAACCTCCCTGGCTTAAGCAACCTTCCACCTCAGCCTCCCAAGTAGCTGGTCTACGACTGCATGTCACCACACCTAGCTAATTTTTTATTTCTTTGTAAAGATAGGTGTTCCCTATGTTGCCCAGGCTGGTCTCGAATTCCTGGGCTGAAGCCCTCCTCCTACCTTGGCCTCCCAAAGTGCTAGAGTTACAGGCATGAGTCACCGTGCCTGACCCTGGGGGCATTCTTTTACATGCAGCTGAAACTGTCCTAGCTGAGAAGGCTTTCCACCATTCACAGTCTTTCATTGCCTAATAATGAACTGCATTTGGCATACCCCAATGCAGCCATCACCCCTAGTTCTCTTACTTTGTTCCTGCTTTGATTCCCCTTCCTGAAATTTCTCCCATTGGCTTTGTCTCCATCACTGGTCCTGTTACCCACTTAGACTTGACAGCTGACAGCTTGCCCAAAGTAAGTAGTGACTATCTTCTGTCATTGAATTTCTTTAGCTCCTGCTGGTCTTCTGCAAATGGTCACCTGCCAATTTGCTGCAAACTGGGGTGGGAGTTGTGTGTCTGTGTGTGTGTGGAGGGGGGGGGGGGCATATCTGTTGCCATAGCAACACAAAGATGCTGGAGCATATGTTGGATATTCTTTGCTTGGAAAGTGTGGTAATTGAGGTTAAGAACTCCAAGACACATGGAACAACCAAAGTCCTTGAAAATCTGTTTGCAAAGACAAAGTTTGAGACTGTTTGTCATGTTCTCTCAGATCCTATGCCCTAGCCCTTGTAGTGCAATTTCTTCTCTCCTCCCTAGCAAAACAGGCAGGTAAGTCTGGGGAGACTGCCTGACTCCAGTATGCAGCTCTGAGTGTTCATGTAGACTGAAACTTGATACTCAACTTGCAGCCAAGAAGATGGTGTTTCCAATATTCTATCTATCTGCTGAATGTTTCTGTTGCCTAAGACAGAAACTCAGCTCAAACTGACTTACATGAAAAGGAAAATTTTTGGTCTTTGAAATTGAAAAGGCTTAAGGGTTGACCCGGCTTCAGGCACAGTGAATCAAAGTTCTAAATAATGTCCTCCAGAACTTGTTTCTCCCTTTCTTGGCTTAGCCTTTGTCTGTTTTGATTTTATTTTCAGGAAGGCTTGTCTCCTATGCGAGCATGGTGGCTGCAACACCTTTAATCTTGTGTCTTATCAGTGCTGCAGTGCAGTAACAAGAGCTAAAGTCTCATTAGACCATGAATCATATATTGCCAGAGAATGGGCTATGCTGATTGGCCAGGCCTGGGTATATGCTGCTGTGGTGTGAATGTTTTGTTTCTCCAAACTTATATCCTGAAATCCTAACACCCAAGGTGTGGTATTAGAAGATGGGCCCCTTGGGAGGTGGTCAGTTCATGGGGAAAAAGTCCTCATAAATGAGATAGTGCCCCTATAAAAAAAGACCCCAGAGATATCCCTCACCTCTTCTACCATGTGAAGTTGCAACAAGAAGACAGTTGTCTACGAGAAAGTGAGCTCTCACCAGAGACTGAATCTTCCAGTGCGTTGATCTTGTACTTTCCAGCCTCCAGAACTGTGAGGAATAAATTTGTCATTTAAAAACCACTCAGATTTTGGTATTTTGTTACCGCAGCCAGAAGGGACTAGGACAGAAAAATTTTGGCGCTAAGAGTGTATAGAGGAACAAAATTTTAAGGATGGGTTTTCTGAATTGGTTTTGGGGATTTGGCAATTGGCTGTCTGTTTATAGAGATACACAAATTATCTGCATTGGTTACTCCTAATCAACCATTTATAAGAAGCAAGGAACCAAGTGATTCCATATATGATACCCAAACACTTTTGGAAAACTAAGGCATATAATGACTTGCTTCTAATATCTCTGGACAAAGTGGAGAAAGAAAAAGATGAGCTCAGGGATTTGAATTCCCAGCTCAAAGTGTTTCATAAACTATCTAAGAGCTTCTAGGTGTGCCCTGAAGGAGAGCCTTCTAGCCTGTAGTTGCAGGGCTGAAATTTCTGAAAATTAAATGCACAACCTCATCCTACAATTGGCTGAATTACAATGAAAATTGAACTCCCCACCACGCAGGGTGTCTGCTGTGAAAGCAAGGGCAAGGACATAGATCAGAAAAGAATGGGATCCTGTGAGGTGGGAAGACACTGATGAAGTCCCTGATGAAGCTGGGGACATTGAGCCCCTAAATTCTGACGAGTCTTTTTACCAGTGGAAGTAGCCTCCTTACCTCTGGCAAAAGTGCCATCCCCACTCAGGGTGGCATTGGCCTTTCCACCTTGTCTAAGGGAACTCACCCTGCATTGCCCTAGGAAATAGTAATGGGTTTCTCTGAGGCAGTTCCCATGCCAGACAATGCTGATTCTTCTCAACACCCAATCCCACCACCCCTTCAAGTCCTAGTGGGCTCCTAAAGGTGAGATGCACAGTGTGACCCATGGGGAGATATCCTATACCCCAAAAGAACTGTTTGAGTTTTCTAATTTATACAAGCAGAACCATAGGGAATATGCATAGGAATGGATATTAAGGGGGTAGGATAATGGTGGAAGTAACATAAAGTTGGATCAGACTGAATTTATTGATAAAAGTTCACTAAGCAGAGATTCTGAATGTAATGTTCCAGCTTAAGGAGTTAGGAAGGGCTCTAACAGTTTAGCTGGTTGGCTGAAACATGGATTAAAAGATGGCCTATCCTGAGTGAGTTGGAGATGCCTGACCTCCCCTGGTTTAATGTAGAGGAAAGGATTCAAAGGCTTAGGGAGATTAGAATGCTAGAGTGGATTTGTCATTTAATACCTGCTCACCCATGCTGGGAAGGTCAGACATACCTTTAAGAAAGGTATGTCTTTCTCAATACTTTGAGAAATAAATTGGTGAGGGGAGCCCCAGCATCCTTTAAGAGCTCTGTGATCCCTTTTCTCTATAGACCAAACCTTACAGTGGGAACCACAGCCACTTAATTGGAAAACTTAAATGCAACGGGAATAATTGAGTCCTGGAGTATCAGGGGCCATTTGGTGGCACTCAACTGTTAAAGGCAAAGTGGGTGCGGTTACCTTAATGGACTGCAGAGTTAAAACAACAATCAGGATAGCCTGACTCATGCAGACCTATGGCACTGCTTAATCATGGTGTTCCTGGAAGTGAAGTAGGTGGGAAGCCTACTAAATTCTTACTTGATCTGTATAAGCAGAAACATTCTAGGTGAAGTGAACAGAAGTCTAACTTGAATCCTAAAAATAGAAAATCATAGCCCCTC